TGAAAGAACGATACTGGGCAGTATATTCTTGAAATCAGCACTATCTGTTTGTGAATGCAAGCAGCATAAAAGAAGCTCTCAATAGGGGAGACCGGGGTCAATTGTAACACTTTTTACTTAACTTCTTGTAGTTGATCCCAGACGACCGCTCACAAAGTTAATCGGTACTAACTAGTACATTGGCTTATTGGCTTTAAACCTCAGCGTCGTTTCAAGTTCACTACCGTGTCTTTACAAAGTTATTACGTAGCAAATGCAATGACTACAAGTGTTACAATTGACCCCTAGCACGGGGCAATTGTAACAGGTGGATCGGGCAATTGTAACAAAGAAGGTTCAAATGTAACAATTTGTTTATTTTCCAAATAAAATCAAAATATAATGTGGAAAGATGTTATAGTGATCAGTTGGGGTGAAAATGGATTAACAATTAACCTTTATCACCACCGACATTTCAAATGTTTTTCGTTTAAAAGTCATGTATTGGTATGCCCAGAAAATAATACAAAGACTTACACCAAAAACTTTCACCCGAGGCTAAAACTGTCAACATAACACTGAAAATGTTCTACTATGATAAACCTAGTAAAAAACTAACCTAAAACCTTCATCATAATTTGCTTTATTATCATAACACAAGGGAAAATTACATGGGGGCAATTGTAACACAGTGTTACAATTGCCCCTGATGGCAGTAGCCATATTTCATGCCACGTCACACGTTAACAACCTTGAGCTTCTCAAATATTTCTACTTCCAAATGTGTCGTAATATCTAAATTTTACACTTGAAAAGTTAATTTCATGCCAAACACCATTTACTGCATTAAGAACGGTTTAATACGTTTTGTGAAAAATTTACTTACCTATGTAAAAAACGATTTTTCGTCAACTGTATAAGCGAGCAGAGGAAAAACGCCTGGATGAGTACCGCAGGAAAGTAAAGGGAAATAACTCTACTCACCTACACTATGCTTGAGTAATCGCCCTTGTTACAATTGACCCGTGTTACAATTGACCCCGGTGTCCCCTACTTTGTGCCATATAGCTGGAATATTGCTGAGTGCGGCGTAAAACTAAACTCACTCAATATTTTGTGACCCTGTCGATAGAAACACTGCCATTCGCTGCTCGTTGGGTCTCTTGGGTTCTCCCCAAACCTATGATTTGGGGTTTGAATCCCGGTTTGAATCCCAGTTTGCCTCGAATTTGTTTCTGGGTGTGTCAGCTCCATACCATCGTTTGACTAAAACTCCACTGCATCACTTCGGGCTTTCCTTTCCACATTGAGCTGACACATGTGAGCGGCGTTGAATCCAACACTCATTATAGTTTGATTTCCCATCATTCCCGACAAGAGTCACGACCTTATTATTTCGATACTTGCATTGCATCGAAGAGTATCGCTACAGGTTTTATGAAGGCAGCAGATCAAGTGTTTTTAGACTTGCCTCGTCACGCAGAGAGCCCCAGGGTCGAATCCCCTCATGGTTGTATTGTGAGGCCAATTTCTTCATATTCACGCTGTGCTTTTGCTAAAAACCGATTAGAGTGGTACTTACTTACTCCATACAGCTCTAGTGACATTACAAAACACATCACACTCATATGTTGCAAATAACATTCCACTGTTTGTCCTGCCTGTATTCAGACTCCGGCGAATGTTCTGTTATTGAAGAGCTGCACCTCCCCAATAGTTACACTATTCAATCCGTACATGGCACCTTTTACCCCGGCTGCTCTCACGGCGACTCTGGTACCTTTGAAATGGTAAACGGCAGTAGCATGCGTCCTATTCACGTTTGTGAGACATACATATATACACACTGGTGCCCCGTTCCAGTGACAAGAGCTTGGTATTAGCTACAATACGGTCGCGCTTTCTCTCTTGCTTAATATGTGTACCCATTTTAAGAGTTGATAAATCTGGTCTCGAGGGTTGTAAGGATCGAACTTCACCGGTTAACACGCGCGTATTTAGAAACAATGTTCCGACCACTGGATATATGTGGTGTGATGCTGGTCTTTCTATTAACAGGAATTATTTGTTCCCGACAGTTCTGAAAAGACGCAATATCTCCTGCATGGGGTTTCTCAAATATCGGCATAGGCGGATCCAGAGATGGGGGTGCACGCTCGTGAAAACGGTGGAAAATGAACTGTGCATCCCCCCCTTTCTCAAAAACCTGAATCCGCCCCTGATCGGCCTGTTGACATGATCTGTGAAGAGGGTGTGTTGTAGTGAAAAATACCGGCTCCTGTCCGCATTTCATGGAGACAAATTATCATATGTGGCAAACGAAAACCCCCTCTGCCACATCCTTCCATAGGCTGTAGGGTAGCCTTCAAAACGTCTGTAGTGATTAAAGCCTCCGTATATGTCTCCCTGATGGCGGAGGTCATTGCTCATCACTTCGTTCACAGGTCTGCTTGAACTGACTGACTGAGTTTAGTTTTACGCCGCTTTTAGCAATATTCCAGCAATATCACGGCGGGGGTCACCAGAAATGGGCTTAACACATTGTGCCCATGTGGGGAATCGAACCCGGATCCTCGGCGTGACGAGCCAACGCTTTAACCGCTAGGCTACCCCACCGCCCCTCTGCTTGAACTAGTGAATGAGTACAGTTTTACGTCACTTTATACCCGTGAAGATCCGGGTTACAGTTGACCTTCAGTAACCCATGCTTGTCGTAAGAGGTGACTTACGGGATCGGGTGGTCAGGCTCGTTGACCTGGTTGACACATTTCATCGTATCCTAATAGCGTAGATCGGTGCTCGTGTTGTTGATCACTGAATTGTCTGAATTGTCGATTATTTACTGACCGGCGTCATATACAAATGTATAGCTGGGCCTAGCTTTTCGAAGCTCTCTTAGCGCTAAGATAGTCGTTAGTGCCATACAATTATAGTAACTTACGACCATCAGGAATAATGCTGAGTGCGGCGTTAAACAACAAATCAGCCAACCAACGTCGCTTTATCATTATCACTGCAGGGAAAACGGGAATGGGCATCAAACATTGTAAATGTGTGGAGAATCAAACACGTACTGTTGGCCTGGCGAGCGAACACTTTAACCATTAGGCTAGCCCTACCGTCCCTTCTGCCTGGTCGGGGGCGGTGGGGTAGCCTAGTGGTTAAAGCGTTCGCGCGTCACGCCGAAAATCCGGGTTCGATTCCCCACGTGGGTACGATGTGCGAAGCCCATTTCTGGTGTCCCCCACCGTGATATCGCTGCAATATTGCTAAAAGCGGCGTAAGCTAAACACACTCACTCTGCCTGGTCGAGAAGACAATTTCAGGCCATCGTGATGAAGATGCATTATTGCGGCGGGAAACACCATTCACTCAGTCAGTCTGTAGATAATCTCGGCAGAGACATATACACAAGTGTTGTTGGGTCTTCTAGCAGTCGTTAGGTTTGGAATCAGATCGAGAGGGCTGCAACTCCTACTCTGATTCTATTATCCTTATTAACAGCTACAAGGCCACTGGGAATATATTTATAGCAGTTTGCAAGTTTGATTTACATTATCTCATAGCTACGTACACTGTTTGTGAGCCTGGCACACACATGTAAGATTCCCGATAACGATATCATCAAATTACATAGATATCGGCATTACGATTATAATCATATTTCAAAGACGCCGTCGACATCGTGGTCGCAGTGTAGTAGTAGTAGTAGTAGTAGTAGTAGTAGTAAACGCATGGGCACACTACTTATATCAAAATGACATGATTGTTCTCTTACTACCTGTTGCTATTGTGACTACCCGTGAAGAGTGAAGATCCGGGTTAGAATTGATCTTCAGTAACCCATGCTTGTCGTAAGAGGCGACTAACGGGATCGTATGGCCAGGCTCACTGACTTGGTTGACACTTATCATAAGTGCGTAGATCGATGTTCATGCTGTTGATCACTGGATTGTCTGGTCCAGACTCGATTATTTACAGATCGCCGTAAAACTTGACTCACTCCAGTGTGTTCATTACTTGCGAGCAATATTGACACCAAGTGAAGAGTAACACTGGCAACATGTCAGTACTATGTAATACAATGACGCACCATGTTCAGTGTGTTACAGCACGGTCCAGTAGTACTCAACAAGGATACGTCATTGCAACATATTGGAACATTTATAAACAAAACTGTTCTAGTGTGTGTTATACAGTTTATCCGACAGTTTGGTGTACATAATACACTTTATTAACAAATTGCATTTACATCAACAAACAACTTTATTAGTATGCAGTCATGAAATTCCATGTCTAGAAAGCTATTGAATATGCATGAAACCGTGCAGAATCCATCACATCTTCTCTGAAACATATTTAATTAAGTGCATTACAAGCTTAAGAATTCCATATCAGAAAGGACCCACGCAAACCAAAGTGTATTAATAATCTTCCCAACACACGTTAAAAACCAGTGTCAATATTTGTTGTACAATAAGATATACCTATAAATAGCACCAATGTTATACAGGTATATTAATGTTTACTGTTCAAACTGAATAACCACAGCACACACATTAGTATACGCTGCCTTTAGAAATGTCCATGGTCTCGCATATAAATACATCGGAATAACAACACGCTTTTTGAATAGATTTTCTTAAGGAAAACGCGTTTTTAATGAAATTACAATTAGTGGATTTAACAGGGAACAAAAGGCTTTTGAAACTTGTTTATATCCCGTTCCACTTGTTTTGTACTTGCACTGTCTGGGGTGAAGATTGACTCATGATTGGATTACATGTGCCTGCCTATCCCTTTCATAACGGAGAGGTTCTTTCCAAATCCCACGATCCTGGTTTTATTGATAAGCTGCTAATACAATTTAACGGTTATCTTATTTCATTTGTTATCACTTGACACTGAATTCTTTACGGTGCGTTGTAAATGATAGTAGATTTAGTTGTTATAACAACTTGTGACGTCATGTTGTCACGTGACTGCATTGACCGTGTCACAATGAAGTACTTGTTTATTCCAATTATTTCTCCGCTGTATTTGTGTTAAACACATATTACATAAAATCTGTATCTTGTATCATATTAAGCTTACACGGGCGTTTACAAGGTGTAAACGGGCTTGCAAGCAAATCCCAGGCACAGGAAGGAGGACGCCATTTATTTGCTTCCGCTGGACTATTTTCTTCATGCGTCGTAAACAGGCGCACAGCGGCGTATTCTTTAGAAGAGCGAACTATGGAAGATCCCATGTGGAGCCGAAATTAAGGATACATTCTTCCGTTATTTTCTCCTAAATGCGGGTGTCTGTTCTCCTCCGATGACACCGAGGGGATGAATTTGGACAAAGTCCTTTGTTTCGACACGCTATGGGGTGCGTGAGTACTAAATTAGCCCCGGAAACTCCACCGAATGCCCACCTAGTGGAAACGGTACAATATGGGCAGGAGAAAAACAGCCGTAGCGGACACCCACTCGTCAAAAACACCCTACAATTACAGCAGTCGCCTAACCCCCGGGCTAACCAAGACGGGGCCCCTCGGGCGAATAAAAAGGTGAAAAAATACAGAGACAAGTTTGACCCCAGGGTAACGGCAAAATACGACATTAAAGCCCTGATCGGTCGCGGAAGTTTCAGCCGTGTTGTTCGAGTCGAGCATAGGGTCACCAAACAACCATATGCCATCAAGATGATAGACCGAGTACAAGGAAAGGAAGTTTTCGAGTCTGAACTGAATGTTTTGAGGCGGGTGAGACACATGTACATAATACAATTAGTGGAGGTGTTTGAAACCCCAGAGAAAGTGTACATGGTGATGGAATTAGCCACTGGAGGCGAACTTTTCGATAGGATTATTGCCAAGGGAAGTTTTACAGAGAGAGACGCAACTCGCGTTTTGAACATGGTTCTCGATGGTGTGAAATATTTACACGGTTTGGGTATCTGCCACCGTGACTTAAAACCAGAAAATTTGCTCTACTATCATCCTGGTCATGACTCTAAAATAATGATCACAGATTTCGGACTGAGTGCGATGAGAAAAGGTCCAGAAAACTACATGAGGACTACTTGTGGAACTCCCGAGTATATTGCACCAGAAATTTTGGCCCGAAAGCCCTACACAACTCAGGTTGACATGTGGGCAATGGGCGTGATAACCTATATACTGCTTAGTGGAACCATGCCTTTTGATGATGAGAATCGAAGCAGGCTGTACAGACTCATCCTAAAAGCCAAGTTCACCTATGTTGGAGAGGTAAACATTACTGTGCCATAACATGTGGTGCACATGTCGAGGTGGTGGGGATTTATTTACATGTGGTTTTTACTGTAAAAACTTATTTTTTATGATTACATTTTGGTACTTTATCTGCCCCTGGTAACAGGTGCATTATATCAGATCAGTCAAAACATGTTATGGTGTTATATATTTGGATTGCATTATGCATGGGATGAATGGAATATATGTGCAGATACACCTTGTGCCATTACACTATGGGGTATATATGTGTAACTCATCAGTGAGACAGAACAGTGCATGTACATCAGGTAACAGACAGGCGTCTTGAGCCGACTGTCAAAACTGACAGGTGTTTGTCTTTCACAAACACTGCATGCAGACTCAGCAAACTAAGATGCTTCTTGAATACACTCCACAATCCATTCACACTGCAGTGAACATGTTGGTAATGACAGATTATGTAATTGTTTATACCTGTAAGATCGTTAACGAAGAACGATTGGTGTAAATGTTTTTAGTAGAAGTAGTAATATATGAGTATTGCAACGCTGTCAGTTGTCCAATGGGTATGATACAATTATCTGTCCCACTAAGGGTAGTTAAATTTCTTAAGATATTCTCTTACCTTTTGCAGATGAATTACAAGCTTTATTCATTTGCCGGATAAAAAGATAAAAGATAGGATATTATAGGGCAGAAATATATAGGCCATATAGGTATATGTTATGATATTAATTCCACCCAAGAAATACTAGAGAATCTGAATGTTTACATTTTCTGATATTGCTTGCATGATTTTACACCAGAATAACTTTCAATATACAGTATGTATTGGGATACAGGTGATGAACATTGATATCTTGTATCACAGGCCTTACCTCAGGATACCATACTATGTCACCATTTTGTTTCATCAGTGGTTTCCATGAACATGATGAAAAATGTGGAAATTATTAGTAATACAGAAGAGACCTCATGGTTTAGTGATGTCACCTGTTGTGAAGGATAGGGCTGATTTGGCATGGGAAAAACATGACCATCCCGTTCAACAATGTTTAAGCCACCTGTCTGTGGGCTTGGGGAGATGTCTAGTCAACAGGAACACCGGCTATCACCAGGAACACCTAGTAGGAGACAGTTATCAATGACAGGAAGTACTCAAATATTGATGTAAAACATTCATAATCTGTTTTGAAATGAAAGCAGTTGTTCCTTGTACATCAAACATTTACAAAGCCAGGTGTCAATAGCTGTATCCCTCTAGTACAATTTAATTTATTTCGCATTACTGTATGGGGGTGAAAATTAATTTTCTACGAAAGTGTTTGACCGCCAGTTAGAAGTGATACAGATAAAGGTGAAGATTTATTATGAAAAACATTTTGGAGTATATTCTTACTCCCCTTCAGGTGAATGAAAAACTAGAAAGCAGATAGCTATAATGGTACATGAGAAACAATAACAACGATAAGATGCTTATAAAGTTATCTAGTGTTTCATCCATAGATTTTCACCTTATAGTTCTCTACAACATTTTAGAATATGATGTTAGAAATGTGAACATAAGTATAATGTCTGTTGAAATAAGTAATGAGTGGCATGTTGATTGATCCTGTGTTCTGTATGGTCTGGTGAAGAAAATCTCATTGTTTGGAAAGACATTAAATTGTAATCAAGATACCTGTGGTTCCGATCAAGCCAGACCAGTCAGTTCCAGGTCATTAACTTCTGTTGTTAACACTGTGTCTGTTGAACCTCAAGTGGAATAATCCAATCTGCTTAACGGTGATTAACAATATGTTGGTACAGACCAGGTGATCTTTGTTGTGATTTGAGCTGGTTGTGCTAATCTCTTTAGCTAGTAATCATTAAATGAGATAATTACCAAAGGTAAAGTGTGGCCTTGATTGCAGTAGTGTCATAATGGATCATTTGGCATACAGAATTTGAAGCCACAAGATGTTTTTTGGTTAGGTGATTAGAATATCAAAGGCTGGTACAGAGGCCCAGATAAGCTGCGTATCCAGGTAAAATACGCACATAAAATTTCGAATTACGCATTGAAAAATAATTGTTGCGTACCAACTACGCATTTAAAATGTTAGATACGCAAAAAGTTTAAAACTAATGCGTACGGAATATATTTATAAAAATCGCTAGTGCGTAATGAAAAATACATCAATTGCTATCAAGTTGTACTGTTAGTATAGGACAAGTGTTGTACTGGCAGTATAGGATGAGTGATTTTTTATGAAATCATTTCCATTATATTTAAGTTGGTTTTGATTAGGTATGACATAAGGCAGAACATACCTGCTTAGTAAACTTACTCAGTCACATAATACTTAGGTGAGTAAAATCACTGAAATACGCACATATTTGAAAGCAGTGGGTAACGGAAAATGAAATACCCACTCAACATTCATAATACCTACTCCAGAAAAATACAGTCGGTACAGTACCCACATGAGCTAAATCTTATCTGGAGCTCTGCTGGTATTTTCAGACCATCAGGGCATGATTGGTCAACCTTGAATCTGACCAGTTAGTAGGAACTTATAGCATGTTGAATGAAATTCTTGAAAGACCATTAAGAAGTTGGATGAACATGAATACATTACACATTTTTATGGATAACAACTTCTTTTTATTCTTTATGTGACATTTTAGAGCTAATTCTTGGTGAAGGAGTAAGAATTAGCTCTAAAATGTCGTATAAAGAATGAAAAGAAGTGTATCCATAAAATGTGTCATGTATTTATAACATGTTGAGTTAATGGTAGGCTGAAGAGGGTCTGATTTACAATGCATATTGAGTAGAGCTGACATTCAGTAGTAAAGAACAAGTTGTGGAAAAGTTGTTCCTATGGAAATCAGTTATGGATCTTTTAGTTGAGACATGGAAATAGTAGAATCTGATTTTATTGATATGTGATCTAATAACAACGAGACTTAAAAGAACTACATGATATGTGAAGAATTTGTGAGTAATTATTGAAACAGTAATTCGTTGCCAAGTTCATTCTTTAGTCAATAGATGTTTAAGAAATACCATATCTGTGGTATTTAAATTCGTATAGAGAGGTTGTCCATCTATTCAACCAGTAACCCTGCTGTTCACCCCGTTCCAGTTAAGACACTAATTGGGGAAAATATAGTCCATATCCTTCCATGCCAAACTCTTCAGCAGTTAAAACCTGGAGGAAGTCATGGCTACCTGGGGTTATCTGCCATAGTATTTCAACCTAAGGAGCCCTTAAAAGTTGATCGTTTGACATTTGTGTTATGTATGATGAGGAACCTGAAAGTTTCATGCTTATTTTTTGAACTGGTTCAGTATGAACATCTATGTCGAAACCAGTTCACAACAAAAGATCTTTGTACTTCAAGTTCAAACAAAAAGTAAATCTAGAAAGAGATGATAATTTAAAAATGTCTTGAATGAATCATTGGTGGCAGGTGCTTGGTCCATAGCTACAGTTAGCTGGATACAATCTGTGGAATGGTTGTGCTAACAACTTGCTGATAAGCTGCAGAAACACATATATATTTATCACTTGTTCAGAATACTGGGGTTCAACAACCTCATAAGTTAGTGGCTGGAATTTAATTGCGTAATCTATGGAGTGAAAGTTCAATTTCAACAGCTTACTTCTTGGGACGTATGCACTCTGAAGTTTGGATGTGATGATTCCTGTACATCAACACAGCCAATGACTGACTTGTGGAGTATAATGCAGTGTCAGTGTGGCACCTAGAATTCCTTGTATGCCACTAGTTGGAAACTGATGACCCAGTATACAGATTCTCAGCATATTTTAACACCATATGTCGATGGAACCTGGTGCAATTAAAAACTGTGTTTTAAGGAGCTCAGTAACTGTTATGTGTTTAATATCAGTCCATAAATAAGTCCATAAATCCTGGAATACTCATTATTGCTACTTGATGTTTTCAAACTGTATGTGATCAGGTACTGAAGCATTAGGAGTGGAACACTGTGTCAGTCTGATGTAGTTCTTGTAGCATGTTCCACAGGTTTGTCAGTCATACTAATTCTGTCGTCCAGGTAGGGGAAATGGGCATGTGAGGAATCATATTTGTTCAGACCATCAGCTTGGGTTTGCCTGCACCAGAGTGAGTATGGTTTTACACTGCTGTTAGCAATATTCCAGCAATATCACAGTGAGGAACTCTAGAAATGGGCTTCACATTGTACCCATGTGGGGAATGGAACCCGGGTCTTCAGCATTATGAGCCGACACTTTAACCATTAGGCTACCCCACTGCCCTGCCTGTACCAGAACTCAATTGGCACAGGAAGCCTTTCTGGTTCATATCGCCTCTCCTCCTCATAGTATGGTGGGGTAGCCTAGTGTTCAAAATGTAACAATGGGTGGATCCAGATGGTGCTGGTGTAACTGTGGGTGGGTCCAGATGGTGCTGGTGTAACTGTGGGTGGGTCCAGGTAGGTGCTGGTGTAACTGTGGGTGGGTCTAGCTGGTGCTGGTGTAACTGATGGTGGGTCCAGATGGTGCTGGTGTAACTGTGGGTGGGTCCAGATGGTGCTGGTGTAACTGTGGGTGGATCCAGATGGTGCTGGTGTAACTGTGGGTGGATCCAGATGGTGCTGGTGTAACTGTGGGTGGGTCCAGATAGGTGCTGGTGTAACTGTAGGTGGATCCAGATGGTGCTGGTGTAAGTGTGGGTGGGTCCAAATAGGTGTTGGTGTAACTGTGGGTGGGTCCAGATTAATGTTGGTGTAACTGTGGGTGGGTCTAGATTGGTGCTGGTGTAACTATGGGTGGGTCTAGATAAGTGCTGGTTTAACTGTGGGTGGGTCTAGATAAGTGCTGGTGTAACTGTGGGTGGGTCTGGATTAGTGCTGGTGTAACTATGGGTGGGTCCAGATAGGTGCTGGTGTAAGTGTGGGTGGGTCCAACTAGGTACTGGTGTAACTGTGGGTGGGTCCAGGTAGGTGCTGGTGTAAATGTGGGTGGGTCTAGATTGGTGCT